GATTCGGAACCGATTCTGAACAAATTCCACCGGTCCCAGGCTAAGCTAACTTCAAGTTTTAGACATGACATTTGCAATTCGTTCAAGTATTCGACAGCCTGGAGCAAGGTTCTGGAGTTTTTGTTCGGTTCTAAAACTGTTCGCGATAAAATAGGAACCTGAACCCATTCACAAGTTGGGTTCGGGTTGCTCACTCCGAGTTACTCCGATCGCACTCCAGCCGTTATCTGATAAGCTAAAAGGTAATACCCGAACGGCTGAAGTGCAAACCGAATCACTCGGAGTGCACGGAGTGAGCAAGCCGAACCCAGCTATAACTGGGCATGCGCTCTACGATAGTCCTCAATTAATTCCGGACTGGTTCGGAATCGGTTCAAAATATGATCCGCGAACAAAGCTATTAGCAGCGAGTGGCACTACCTACACCCTACACCTACAAAATTTGTATAGGGCGTGCGAAGCCGCGGGCAACAGCTAGTAATTATATATAGAGTGCGAAATATGTCAGTATGTACAGGGTGTCTAAGATTCGATGGTTTTGGGGGTATTTCTAAAGGAGTTGGGAAAGATCTGACCCCCACTTGCGAGCCTCGATTTTCAAGAGAAATTGACTGGTGAAAACCGCATCTCGATATGTCGAGTTGTTTTTATGCTACGAGGGGTTTTTGAAAAGTTTGGAGTTTGGCACGGGGTCTATAACTTTTTGTGACTTAAAAACGAATCAAGATATCGAGATGCGGGATTCACCGGTCAACTTCTCTTGAAAATCGAGACTCCAACTTCTCTAGAAATATCCTAAACCCGCTAAAGCCATCGAATCTTGGACAACCTGTAAATAAGTGTAAAAATAACTAGTTAATATTGTTCCAACTTTCGTTTACATTATTTTCACCATTTGAATTTTGTCCACCTTCTTCTATATTTTTTTGCACCGCTTGGAAGAAGTTGGTGATTTTACTTTGATGACATGTAAAAACTACCATCCACTTGAACGCAGTTACAAAACGACAAGTGAAAACCTGTGCTTTTATTTTCAAGAGACATGTAAATGAATTCGGATTACTGAATCAAGTGAAATCCGGATAAAGGTCTGGACACACATGACCGCACCGTATCCGCACCGAGTTCGTGCAGTAATACGGTAGTGTGTTGCTCAATAAGCTAGAAACCACACATTTCCAACACACAGCCGCATGACGGTCGTACTACAAGTGCGGTTGGTAGTTTGTCACTTGCAAGTGTGTGTGAAAAAAGCTAAAATGTTCGCCAGCTTCACCAACAGCGAAGTTGGACGTTGCAGAAAAGCAACGCACCGTGCTCGTGAAAAATTAAACCAAACTTATCTCGCATGGTACGGACGCGGTGCGGTGGTGCCACCCGGGCGCGGTGCGTAGATGTGAAGACTACGACATAAGAAAACACGGTACAATTCATCAGCGAGACACGGCCGTGTCTCGGTACGGACACGGTGCGGTCATGTGTGTCCAGACCTTTACAGAGTAGGTACATCAAGGGAACGAAAATGCGATGCGGATTACAGAAGCATACGGATTATCGCGGGATCGGATTAACGCGACACTACTGTATTAAAAAAAAATCACGGAAATATCAAAAAAATACGGGAATTACAATTATTGAAAAATTAGGAGAATTATAAAATTACGAAAAAAAATCATGGATATTTCAAAAATTATGTAAAATTACGAAAATTATTGGAAAATTACGTAATATGGAAAAATATTAACAAAAATTTCAAAAAATCATGGAAATTACATTAATTATTGAAAAAATTGAGAGAAGAATTATAAAAATTAGAAAAAAATCGAGTATTACGGAAAACAATGAAAATTATTGAAAAAAATTACGCGAATTTCAAAAATTACGTAGAATTGCAAAAAATTATTGGAAATTACGTTTTACGAAAAAATAATAAAAATCACGAGAATTTCAAAAATAACGGGAATTATCATTATTGAAAAATAAAATAAAGAAATTACGGGAATTAAAAAAATAACAGAAATCACGAAAATCATAAAAAATTACGGAAATTAGGAAAAATTCAAAAAAAAATAAATATCGGAAATAACACAAAAATTAAGGAATTTATTAATTAACGAAAATTACGGGAATTGCAAAAATTGCAGAAATTACGAAAAATTTTGGGACTACGGAAAATGATTAAATTTTTAAAAAAATTTGGAAATTAGAAAAGTTACAAAAGTTACGAAAATTCTGGAAATAAATCACGGAAATTTATTAACAAAAACCTATGATGATTTTCAAAAAGTTAGAAAATAACAAGAATTACAAGAATCAGGAATTATAATTACAAAAATTATAAAGACCGAGAAATTATAAAATTTCAAAAAACGGCCAAGAAACTTACAAAATTACGACAATTGAAAAATACGAAAACTATCAAAGTTACGAGAATTATAAAAAATTACAGGGATTACGAAAAAGTTACGGGAATTACGAGAATTAGAAATTACAAAGGCTTTCGGGAAATGATTTTGAAAAATGCCCAGAAAAAATACGGAAATTACGGTAATTACCTACTAATTTTTGAAATTTAGAAAAACGTGGAATTATAAAAATAACGGAATTTTCTGAGAAACTACGGGAATTAAAAAATTACGAAAATTTGAAGAACAACAGGAATTAATGAAAAAATTATAAGAATTATTTGAGAAATGACAGGAATTGAAAAATTTCTAAAGAAAAATTACGGAAATTACGAGTCTTCGAAAATTACAAAATTTTCTATGAGCTCTTTATTTTCTTCTTTTTCTGGAAAATTTTCACAATTTTCTTGCCAGTTTCCCGGTTGTAAGAGGATGAATTTTGCCTAAAAAAGTCCCAGAATTTTTCCTGGAGTGATTTTTGACTGGAAAATTTTGAAATTTTTCTATAATGTGCTCCTTACTTTTCTTCTACTTCTGGAAACATTTCATAATTTTCCCTTTGCCAGATTTCTAGAAAAAAATTAAAATGTAAGAGGATGAATTCTCCTTAATTTTGCTGAAAAGTAAGTTTTTCAAAATTTTTCCTGGATTAATTTTTTACTGAAAAATTTTGAAATTTTCGTAAAATGAGCTCCTCATTTTCCTCTTATTCCTGGAAAATTTTCAAAACTTTCCCTTTGCAAGTTTTGCAGAAAAAAATTAAAATGTAAGAGGTGAATTTTCCTTAATTTTACTTGAAAAAGTCAATTTTTCAGATTTTTTCCTGAAGTGATTTTTTACTGGAAAATTTTGAAATTTTCGTAAAATGAGCTCCTCATTTTCCTCTTATTCCTGGAAAATTTTCAAAACTTTCCCTTTGCAAGTTTTGCAGAAAAAAATTAAAATGTAACAGGTGAATTTTCCTTAATTTTACTTGAAAAAGTCAATTTTTCAGATTTTTTCCTGAAGTGATTTTTTACTGGAAAATTTTGAAATTTTCGTAAAATGAGCTCCTCATTCTCCTCTTATTCCTGGAAAATTTTCAAAATTTTCTCTTTGCAAGTTTTCTAGAAAAAAATTAATATGTAAGAGGGTGAATTTTTTTTAATTGCTTAAATAAGTCAATTTTTTAGAACATATTTGAAATTTCAGTCGTAAAAAAAAAGAATCACCTTTTGTCGTTTGTACATGATATTTAAGAACACCCTGTATAATACGCAGTTAATTAATTTATATATTTGGGACTCTAATGATTTTTCAAGAGCCGGTATTTCAATGTCACCTTAAGATATAGAATAAACATAGACATTGACAACATTGTCTGACCTTGTTCGATGACGTCATCCTAAATATTAATATAAGATAAAAACCGTATATTTTAAGGTAAGTCTTGATTTCAACAATAATAATTGCGCACGTGCTCTATGAATTAATCAACGACAAATACTTTTTTCTAACTTATGACGTCATCGATGACATAAGTAAGTACAAAAAGTGCAAAAAAAATACATAAAACAATTTGGTTTCACTAATTTTTTATATAAGTGTTAGGTAGTGTTATAGTGGGATGCCGAATAGGAGTGCTAATTTTTGCTTTAGGGGTGCTTACCACCCCCAAGCAACTAGGGGAATAGTTGCGCCTATGGTGATAAATTCACCTGCACCTGTGGACATCGGATTGTGAACAGGATATAATTATTCATACCACTTTTGAAAATGGTGAATTCACAATTCAACGTTTAAATAAAAATACCTAATAAAAAATTTTAGGAGTGTTTTTTGAACGACTTTTGGGTCGCCTCCGGCGGTGGGATTGTGATGGGCCCGCAGAAATTTTTGCACACAGGCCCGGAGCTATAGGTTGATACGCTACTGGATTTTTCAAGAATCCTAATCATTAAACATCCTGACTTGCATACTTACTAATTTAAATTTTCTTGTCTCAAATTTGTTCAAACGTCCAATATATATCTTTCTTTTTCATTCTTCACTACATCTTTGATAGTTTAGTTTGTATATAGAAAATGTTTTTATTATTTTTTGACAAATATTAGAGAATTTGTTTAATTTTAGAGGCCGACATTAAACGTAAACTAACAGAAATGAAAAAACAAAAGTTCAATTTACCAGAAAATTGGCAAATTCCTTTGACCACGCAACGATACGATTTCAGAGAACCGACCATTTTAAGCGAACACGCCATGGACAAACCGATTATCGTCAAATATCAGGACAGTTTAGGACAAAACAGTAAAAAAATTACGTGGCTGAAAGCGTCACTTTCATTTAATGTTTATATAACGTTTTTTCAGAGAAACTAGATGAGATTTTGAATGTACAAACCGGAGAGAGTGAGTACAGTGGAGTGATTGGAAAATTGGGAGCCTTCATTGTGGAAGAGCAAATGCACGGGAGAATCGTGCATCCTGAAATTAAACAATTGTGGCTTAGACAATTTGAGAAATATAATAAATAAATTATTAATATTTTTGGTTTTTAATCTCGTAGTGAAACCATTAGGAATAATACTGATTTTATGTCAACACAAACTAATAATTATTACAATTAAAACAAAATAATTTATTATTGTATATAAAATTAAACAATGGCTTTAAAATAAAAACTAAGTCATTAATAAATAAAACCCATACACTTAATAACTACTATATGATTATTGATATGACTTATACGTTCGAGATCTTCTGCGATATTTAACAGTGCAAAATAGTAACATTGAAGAAATCAAACCGAACAACTAAAAAAAAAAATTATTTATAATAATTTATAAAATATTTAATTCTTACTTGTACGAACGCCACTGTTAGCCCAACTAAACCAACAACCAATAGACGTTCTTTGAACCACTTGTAAATCGACTCCCTGCAACCTGATTGGTAGAAACCAGTCGTTTTTTTACCACAACCAGTGGCGTAGTCAGCAGGAAGGCAACAACTATCCGGAACCCAACGTTCATCTGGCCATGCATCGATCAAATACCAATCCATATAACTTTCAACTCCGCAACATTTCAGCTAGAATTATGCTTATCTTTATCAATATTAAAGCAAAAATGCTAAATTACCGTTAATTGAATATCGTCCCAAATAATAACCAAATTGTTTGGGCTTTGTGTCAAATTATAATGATGCGCAATGCCATCTTGTAATTTTTCCGTAAAGGAATGTTTAATATTGTCCCTGTACACGAAAGCCAAAGATCCTACTAGGAATTCGGACATAAACATTAAAACAACTAAACAAAAATACTAAAAAAAAAATCAAAAAATTATTAATAATAATTATTAAAAAATCCTTACTGATATGAGTAAGCATCTGCTTTGAAGCCAAGAGCCGCAACAAGCAAAAAACGACACTAAAATAGTGACCAGTCCCACAAAAATGGCCAAACTGTCGGCACTGAGGAGGGCGTATTGAGGCAGTAACGTCGCATAACCTTCGTAGCTGATTCTGAGCCATACGCCTACGCCCACGAGGAAGCAGCCAGTTATCTGTAATTCGTACAATATTTTAGTACAATTAATTGTAACTTGAAAGTAAACTTACCCAAAAAAGTACGTTTACGAAACAAAAAACTGTTCGAATGCACGTGTAACTGCTCGAGGACATCTTTGCTGCTGGAGGATTGTTTGGGTTTAACTTTTAACCTTATGATGAGCGATAATGAAATTTGTTATTTTTAGCAAAAATTTAATTGATGTATTTTTAATACGTTCAATATTTGCATTGGATGACGCTCCTTTTAGATGAGCTTTTAACATTATATAGGGCGAGTGTAAATGAGCTCAAATTTTCAGGGATCGTAGTCCTCTCTACTGGGATAAAAATCCTTGAAAATTTCAGCTTTAATAGAAAAAAAGTAATGACCTTTCAAAGTTTTCCAAAATCTAAATCATAAGGTAGGTACCTTCTTACTAAAACAATGAAATTTCCGAGGAAATTTCACATTTTTTTCCATCGAGATTTTGTGTCCTAACGGCCATGCAACATCCCCCAAACCCCATACACTAAATTATTCTGAGATTTTGAACCAAATTCTATGAAAAAGGGCACTCAGAAATATTGAAAAATTGATAAATCATCCCAAATTGCTTAACACACATTAATCTCAGGAACTATAAGTGCAAATGCGCTGAAATTTTAAGGGATTGTAGTCCTTTGAAAGGGATAAAATTCAGTGAAAGTTTCAGCTTTCTATCTGTAATAGAAAAAAAGTAATGACCTTTCAAAGTTTTCCAAAATCTAAATAATAAGGTACCTTTTTACTAAAACGATGGAATTTCAAATTTTTTTTTGTCGAGATTTTGTATCCTAATGATCAATTAACATACCCCAAACTTCATACACAAAATTATTCTCAGATTTGGAGCCGAAATCTATGAAAAAAGGCACTCAGAAAAATTGAAAAATTAATGAATCACCCCAAATTACTTAACACGATTTTATCTCAGGAACTATAGGTGCAAATGAGCTGAAATTTTCAGGAATTGTAGTCCCTTGAAAGGGATGAAATTCAGTGAAAGTTTCAGCTTTCTATCTATAATATAAAAAAAGTTATGACCTTTCAGAGTTTTCCAGATTCTAAATCATAAGGGGGGTACCTTCTTACTAAAACGATGAAATTTCAAATTTTCTTTTGTTGAGATTTTGTGTCCTAATGATCATTTGATATCCCCCGAACTCCATACATCAAGTGGACGGCATTAAGCAGAAAGGAACCAACCCACAAAAAATTAAAATTTGAACCAATAATACATTTTGAATGTGGTTTAGGTATTAATTCTTTTCGCAAAAAAGAACCATGCATCAAATGGCCATTTCTATAATAAAAACTACAAAAAAAAAATCCTAGAATGAAAATCACACTTTTCTATTTCATAGAAAGAAACCAAAAAAAGGTAGTCAAAAAATATATTATTCTTTATTTTGCAAAATGGATCCAATATACATTGGTTCCCTTTTTTAACATATTAACTTGTTAAAACCTGTCAGTTGAGTGCGTCTAGGCGAATAATATTGTTTAATGCGAATAATAAGGTTTTGTGAAGTTTTTATGTTATAGTGGGTAGTACGAAAGCGTAGAACTGCCATGCTAATATTGAAAAATATTTTTATGAAAATTGACAGTTTTTCTGTTAATTTACACTTTTTCTGTAAATTTACACTTTTTTTGTAAATTTAGTTAAAAGTTAGGGTTAGTTTGGGTTAGCTTGCAGACATTTCCAACCTTACCAATACTAACCCAGTTAGTTTGGGTTACTTTGGGTTACTTTGCACTTTTAATCAGACATCACCAAACTTACCGATAATTACCCGGTTAGTTTGCAATTTTATTCAAACATTCCCAAATTTACCTATAATAAACCAGTTAGTTTGGGTTAGTATGCAATTTTATTTACAACAACATACGTAATGTTGACATTTCTGACTTTTCAAAAGTTCCAAAGTGGTACTTTTTTGAATTTTACTATCCTTCCGGGTGAAAAGTGGTCCCGGGTGGAAAGTACTTACTTTCCACCCCGGGTGGAAAGTAAGCCTTCATTTCCTAAAATGTTAAAGACAAGTCCTGCATGTCAAACGTTTTAGATAAGTCCGAACTTGTTAACAAATTTTTAAACATTTTTATTTAGTATTTAGTCGAAAATTGTGATGGTTGTAATTGTTGTAAATAATAGTAAAATATACAGGGTGTCCACTTAGTGCGATATCGGACGATATCTCCTTACAGGGTGATGCAAGAAAAAAAAATTATATTACAAAGTTGTTTGATACTCTAATATGCATTAGTTAAAAATATTTTTTAATATACATGGTGCTCCGTTTATAGGGTATGCGACAGAGCTTTGTTAATTTTAATGGAACACCCTGTATGTGATTGCATATTTAGATTCTACGTAAAATTCCGAGCAGATTTCATGTGATAAACCCTATACCTAAGTTCAACTGTTTTGGAAAAATTGACAGTTGAAAATTGACTTTTTGCAACTTTGACAAGCTGTAAAACCTAAACGGTTAATTTTAGACGATTTTACATTCCTATCTTTGATTTTTAAAAATTCCAGTTTAATTTAATCTCCGGTTAAATTCAAAGTTGGTGTCAAATGATAGTTTATGAAAATCTAAAATAGGAATGCTAAATCGGTTTTCGTCTAAATTCAACCTTTTAGGTTTCACAGCCTGTCAAATTTGCAAAAAGTCAATTTTCAACTGTCAATATTTCCAAAACAGTTGAACTTAGGTATAGGGTATATTACATAAAATCTGCTCAGAATTTTACGTAGAATCCAAATATTATGCAATCACATACAGTGTTCTATTTGAAATAACAAAGTTCTGACGCATATCCTATTAACGAAGCACCCTGTATATTCAAAGATATTTTTAACTAATGCATATTAGAGCATCAAACAACTTTGTAATTTAAATTTTTTTTCTTGCATCACCCCTCGCATCACCCTGTAAAGAGATATCGTCCGATATCGCACTAATAGTGGACACCCTGTATAATAAGTGTGATAACTAGGTTATTACCCCACGCGAGAGAAATTTGCAAACCAAGCCGGTGAGACGAGGTTTGCATTCTCTAAGGACGGTAATAACCTAATTACCATAGGTATTAAATACAGTATTTTATCTACAACCGTGCGGTAACAAAATATTCGGAAGAAGTTTGAAAAATTATGAAAAAAAAAATCGCGTCTGTCACCCTTTGACAGTGGACATTGGACAAGTAGAATTTAGGTGATAGGTAGGTAATTTATCTCTGGTAGGTAATTCAAGCGTGCAGTAATAACATTACCGCACGCCGTGCGGTAATATGGTACTTACCGCACGCAAAATCGTGTAATATACCTTAGTTACCGCACGCTTGTAGATAAAATAGTATACAAACCTCAGTAGGAAGTTTTATTCCTGTCTCGAGATTATAGTTGACTTTGACGCTTTGCGCCTCAGTTAACTAACTAATCTTTCGACAGTAATGAAACACTTCCCACCTCGGTATGTAATATACTGATATTCAGCTATTTACAAACTCACCAATAATAACCCGGTTAATTTGAAATTTCAATCAGACATATAAACTTACCGATAATAACCCGGTTAGTTTAAGTTAGTTTGTAATTTTAATTAGGCATATCCAAACTTACCTACCTATAATTTGCCTATAACAACCCGGTTAGTTTGGGTTACTTGCAATTTTAATCAGACATCACCAAACTCATGGATAATAGCCCAGTTAGTTTGCAGTTTTAAAAAGACATTACCAAATTTACCGATAATAACCCGGTTAGTTTGTTTTAGTTGGCTGTTCCAAACTTACCGATGATAACTCGGTTAGTATGGATTATTCTGCAATTTTAGTCTGACATTACCAACAATAATAACAATAACCTGGTTAGTTTGGATAAGTTTGCAATTTTTATCAGTCCTCTATGTATGTTCAATTCAATTCAAAATACAAATTTCGATTTTCTTCCGAACGCTGTTATTTCGAGAATAAACCTTTTCGAAGACGCTTATTTCAAATAACCTTTCTTTCAAAATTCAATAATTTTGAAAATATTTATATTTTTCGAAAACGCTTATTTCGAAAATCAATAATTTGGAAAACATAATGTTATTGTTTGATTAAAATTGCAAACTAACCCAAACTAATCCTAACTATCAACTTACAGAAAAAGTGTAAGTTTTCATAAAAATATTTTAATATTAGCATGGCAGTTCTACGCTTTCGTAGGGTAGTGCTGAAAAAGTGCAAAATTCATCATTTTATCATGTCACGCCGTGGAAAGCGATTACTTAAATTAGCCCTCAAAAAATACGAAGGTAATTATCACAATAATTATTATTATCTGTTCTGGGATTCATGTAAAATTATATTTCTTTATTTTGAAACAACAGTTGGAGCGTTTATGCAACAGAGGGATATCCATTCAATCAACCTTTTTCATTATGGGTGTTTAGATTATGTAGGAATTTTCTTATGTTGCATAGCTCAATGTACCAACGGTGCATCTAGTTATGTCTACAATCAACCTTTTTTTTAGATGATAAATTGTTAAATTTGTCAAGCACCTCATCAGAGAATTACAATGATTATTCTATGTCAGGTACCGAGGTGTCTGATAGTGTGATAGGCCAAGGTAAGTGAAACAGAATAGAGTTACTTATTTATCATATTTTTAATAAGGGAATTTATGTTGTAGCAGAAGACTTTGGAAGCAATCAATATACTCCAGATTTAACTGAAGTATCTAACAAATCGATTAGCATCAAATCGGATAATATTGCACAGGGATGTGGAACCTCGCCTGGAAGAGAATCAGTCTTAGATGAAAGCCAAGGTAAGTATAGTGGAATAGAATTACTGATTTCTCATATTTTTAAAATGGGAATTTATGTTGTAGCAGAAGACTTTGGGAGCAATCAATATACTCCAGATTTAACTGAAGTCTAACGAATCGATTCGCATCAAATCAGATAATATTCCACAAGGATGTGGAACCTCGGGTGGAACAGAATCAGTTTTAGATGAAAGCAAAGTATTTGTTTATAATTCTGACACATCTTCTTGGATTGATATTGAAGCGCTTCAGCAAGCAACTTTGTGTCAATCCCCATCTTTAGAAAACATAATGGGATTAGACAATATTCTAGATACGCCGATTGTGGAGAGCTGCGAGTTTCACAACCAAGTACAAACATCAGAAAATTTTGAAGTAGAGCATATGAGTTATCTTCAGGACGAAATTGAATATGAAAAAACAGATCCAGATTATGGTCCAACCATAAGCAACCAGAAAGAGTCTGATGTAAATTCAGATAATGATCCTGAAGTTCTTGTAGTGACCGCTAATAATACTCCAGTTAGAACTACCAGAGATACAACTTTGCAGTCGTTGGAAAATATAATAATGCTGGATAATATCCAAGATATGCCGGTTGAGGAGAGTTTCGAGTTTCGCCATCAATTACCAAGACCAGAACATTTCGAGAAAGAGCATATGAGTGATTTTGAAGATGAAAATCTTGAAAATAGAACAGATCCAGATTATCAGAACGAATCTGATGCAAGTTCAGATAATGATCCTGAGGCTGTTGGAGTGTCCGATAATAATACTCTGAATAAAACCACCAGAACTTCCAGAGGAAGAAAACGAAAATTTGAAATGCAAACAAACGTTACTGCAAAAAAATTAAGAAATAGTAACAAAGAATATTATAATTATAAAGGCAAGCTTGTTAAACAAAAATGTTTTCAAGATTTTCAGTGCCCCTGTAAAGCAGAATGCCACAATAAAGTTGGACAAGATGTAAGAGAGGAAGAATTTAACAAATTTTGGGCGTTAGGTGATTACAACGCCCAGAATATGTTTCTTGCAGCTTCTATGAGGGAGAAAGAGAAAGCTCGACAATACACTAACAGGCCATCAAAAAGGCAATATTCTAGAATATACACTCTCAGAGCAGTCCCTGTTTGCCGTGAAATGTTTAGGCATACGTTTCAGGTATCAACCAAAAAAATAAACACCGCGTTACAGAAAATACGATCTGACGATTTGAAAGATAAAAGGGGACAAAAACAGGGAGGAAAGAACAAGACAAGTGATAAAAAATTGGAGACAGTCAAGGAACACATCAATAAACTTCCACGATACAAGTCACATTACAGGCGTGATAACACTGATGCCGAATTTCTTTCACCTGAAATGACCCTTATAAAAATGTATGACTTGTATGTGGAAAACTTAATTGGAGAAGAGAGGAACAATGAGATAGGGGAATGGAGGGAAGGAAATGAAAAAAATAAAAATGATATATTGAAAGATATTGATGCAGTAAGTTTTTCAACTTATAGGAGAATATTTTTAAATGATTTTAATTTAAAATTTAAAAGTCTAAAGAAAGACACGTGTAACACATGCGATTCCTTTGCTGCTAGAATACAGTCGGCAACTGGTTCAGCCAAAAACGTTTTAGAAGAGGCACATAACAAACATATAGACCTTTGGAGAGAAGCTCGAAATCTCATGAATCATGACAAACTAGAGGCTCACAAAGTGAAGGAGTTTGAATGCTGAAGTTATGATCTGGAAAAAACGTTACCTCTTTCTCGAATTCCTACTGGTATCGTTTTCTACAAGAGGCAGTTGTGGTTGTATAACGCTGGTGTTCATTCTTTTAAAAACAATCAAGGATATTGCTACGTTTGGACAGAAAATCAAGCGGGTAGAGGGGCTCAAGAAATTGGTTCATGTTTGATTAAGCATATTGAGACCAAAGTGGAGAGTGGAATAAAGGATCTTGTTTTGTGGAGTGATTCATGCGGTGGCCAAAACCGGAATATTAAGATGGTCTTGATATTAAAATCGTGCCTTGAAACTCATCCCATCCTGGAAACAATAAAAATGAAATATCTTGTACCTGGACACAGCTTTTTAGCTAATGACACTGACTTTAGCGATATTGAAGGAGCATTAAAACATGTACCTACAAACGCTTTATTTGCCAAGTGACTACGTCCAAGTTATGAAAAGAGCTAGAAAAAAAAACCATTTATTGTAACTGAAATGCAAAGTCTTGATTTTTTTGGGACACAAAAATTGGAAAAAGCCATAGTTAATAGGAAAATAGACGAAGAAAAAGAAAAAATAAGCTGTCTTAAAATTCGAGAAATCAAATTGCTAAAGAAAGAACCTCTGAAACTATATTGTCGTAATGACTTTCAATCGCCATATTCTGTTATAAACTTAGAACGTAAACCTGCTAGAGGACCACAACAAAATGAAATTTCTTTTAGAGGTTTCCTTCAGCCAATGTGGGAAAAGGGAAAAGATATTGCAGCCCCAAAGTTGAAGGACCTAAAGTCCCTATTACATCTTATTCCAGCTGATGCGAAGGATTTTTATCGCAATCTCTCTGGTAGTCGCGACGTGGAGGATGATGTGGATGGATTTTGTATTCCGCCTGATTTTGAGCCAGATAATGTTGAGGAGGTGTAGTTGATAAGATTTTAGAAAAAAAAATGTATTGAAGTAAATAATTATTAAGTTGTAAGGTGAATAAAAACCAATTATGTTTTTTAATTTTGTCACATAAAAAGCTTTGCGACCGAAAATGCATTATTTTTGATTTCATTAAAACCCTATGCATTTCGTAGAACGGAACCAACAACATTGATTTTTTTCTGCATTTCAGATTATAATTTTTTTTTACTATGAGAGAAAGGAACCAAACCACAAAAATTTAAAAATGAGCAATAGCTATTGTAAGTCAATTGATATTTTTCATTGAAAAAGTTACAATAAGTATTACCGCACCCCTCTAAATTGAAATCAGTACTTTCTAAACTAATGCTAATTTATAAAATCACTTTTACTTCAACCACCATTTTCTCAAGTCATGAGTCATGATGGTTGCTTCTTTTCTGTTTAATGCTGTCCAAGTAATTCCCAGATTTGAAACCGAAATCCATAAAAAAAGGCACTCAGAAAAATTGAAAAATTGATAAATCACCTCAAATTGCTTAACACGATTTTATCTCAGGAACTATAAGTCCAAATGAAATGAAATTTTCAGGCATTGAAGTCCCCTATTGGAATAAGAATCGCGGAAAATTTCAGCTTTCTATCTATCATAGAAAAAAAGTTTATGACTTTTCAAAGTTTTCCAAAATCTAAATCATAAGGTAGGTACCTTCTTACTAAAATGATGAAATTTTAAATTTTTTTTGTCGAGATTTTGTTTCCTAATGGTCAATCAACATCCCCAAATCTCCATTCACTAAATTATTCTCAGATTTAAAGCCGAAATCTATGAAAAAAGGCACTCAGAAAAACTGAAAAATTGATAAATCACCCCAAATTGCTTAACACGATTTGATTTCTGGAACTATAAGTAGGTACAAATGAGCTGAAATTTTCAGGGACTGTACTCCTCTACTAGGATAAGAATTGTTGAAAATTTTGTTTTCTTGTTCTTTGTGTTTTTGTTATTTGTTTTTTAGAACAGGTCATTTTAGAGCAGGCCACTTTAAAGTAGTTTAAAGCAGGTTATTCAAGAGTATGCTAAAGTAACAGCGTATTCTATTGGAAGGGTTAGTGCGCACTGGGTGTATTCGTGTCTTTTTTTCCAGCTTGTATAAGAAAGAGATAAAAACACATTTTTTCTGCACTGGTTCTATTAATAGAATTCGCTATAAGCTTCTCGGAACAGAAAGAGTACTCGAATTTGTTTGGAACAGTTAGAGTGTTCAAAACAGATAGAGTACTCGGAGTATTAGAGTGCTCAGAACGAATAGAATGCTCCGAGCAGATAGAGTGCTTAGAATAGATAACGTACTCGTGAGTCCTTGGTTTTATTTTTCTTTTGACTTTAGTTATTTTGGTAATTTTTCTTGTTTTTTTCAAAAATTGGAAAATTATTTCCCTAATTTTGCTGGGAGGAAATACATTTGGCAATTTTGTCATATGCAATATTGCCATTTATTTGCTTTCATAGGCGCCGGAACTTTAAAATTACTATGGGGGCTCAGGCTCCAAAAAAAACACAAGTAAAATTATACAGACAAGACCAGTAGGCTACTAGACACCTAGGCTTAAATGGGATCAGTTGACTGATACACATTCACTGCAGGATCGCCACGCTGGATCATCCGACTTTTTGAAAATACAGCTTTAAATACCAAAATATACCTACTATACAACAAAATATTCAAAGTCTTTGTTAAAGTATAGGTATAGCAAAAACAACAAAAACATAATGCACACAAATTTGACATAAACATAAATAATTAGGAACTCAATATTTTTATAATTTTTGTACAGGGTGATCTATTATAAATGTCACCTCTTCCTAACTTTATCATTTGACGTTTTTGACAAAAGTGTCACACACAAAAGTTTCAAGAAATTGTCAAAATTTTTTAACTTATAGCGTTTTCGATTGGTAGATTCAATGCGCACTGAGTGTATTTGTATCTTTTTAATCGACCTGTAGAAGAAAAAGACAGAAATAGAAAAAATTGCACTAGTTCCGCACTAGATCTACCAATCGGACACGCCATAAGGCAGTATCATGCATACAGGGTGCGTAAAAAAAGTGTAGCAAAGCGAACTTATATTTTTTTAAATTGAACACCATGTATATTGTGCGCTTATTTGTTTGCAAACTGATTTCAACGATATATGGTTTGATATGAATTTACAAGGTGAAATCGAGGGTGAAATGTTAAAATAAAATCAGTTTTCTTGAGTTATTATTATTTAAAAAAATGTACATGAAATGAAGAGGCTTTCGCGTTTTGCCCTATAACTATTAAAGGTAAACATAACAAAACGTATATTGTTGAACTCAGGTTGAAAGGTACTAACAAATTAGTGCACAATATACATGTTGTTCCATTTAGAAAAATATAACTTAGCTCTGCTACATTTTTCTGACGCACCCTGTAGGATGCTTAAAACTAACGTAGTTGAAAACTTATGACAATTTCTGAAAGCTTTTGTATCTGACTCTTTTGTCAAAAGCGTCAAATGAAAAAGTTAGGACAGGTGACATTTATAATAGATCACCCTGTACCTACCTACTAAACTCACTATATATAATACCAAAATCACTATGGGGGCTCTGCCCCCATAGCAAATTCACTATGGGGGCTCAAGCCCCCATTGCCCCCATGGTTCCGGCGCCTATGTTTGCTTTCATTTGTATAAGAAAATGGGACTCAGAAATAGTTTTTGTGAAAGAACTTAGAATTATTGGTGAAAATGATAAAAAAAAAGCAGACTTGGCAACGTTCTCTGATTAAAATGAAATGTTGTCACGTATTTCAGTTTGTGTAACATTAGAAGAAAAATTAACATTGCATTTTTCAACCATAAAAACATTATTTCTAGTAAATTTTAGCCTTGGAAAGTATACAGAATAACTAAGCACGATAAACATTTGATGATTTTTTCAATTTTTAACAATAAAATTCATATTCCTCAATGTTAAAGTCTGTTTTTTTTTTAAAGATAATTCCCCAAGTCAAAAATTTAGTAACTATGTTGGCAACACAAGCCTTTCCTACATAAAAAATTTGAAATCATTGAAAATTTTACATTATATTGCCAACATGAAAAAACACATTTTACCTTTTTATTAGAAAAACGTACTACAATTCCGAATGCACTACATCACCACCGTTTTGTTCTGTTGCACTAAAATACATACAGGCCTTTCCTCTCTAAAACCAATAAACCGAATAAATAAACATTTCGCGTATTGAACCGCGAAGGAACAGTTGTTAAAATTTATTTTGGTCTCTGGATCCGATATAGAAGGTCAGGGATTTTTATGTTTTATAGTTTTCGATTAAAATTCGCCTTACGTAACTGTTTTTTTGTTTTTATGCCACCGTGACCGTGATGGGTACTCGCGCTTCCCACCTCATACACACTATTTTGTTTGCGTGGTACTTAGAAAACCTGTTTAGAATTAATACAATGGTACCGTTTCTGGTTTAGAATCAGGAAGTAGTTGGATGATATTGACAGTTTGGCGAATGCACAAGATATTTTCGTTCATTAGAGGTTTTTATGCAGCAAATTTTTTTTTTTCCAAATCGATATTGACGCATATTTTGTTTTCGTTGTTCCTCTACAAAAGCTTGATTAACGATTTCAATGTAGCTTCAATGGTTTTGCAGTTGAAAATTTACAAAAACGAAAAATTGTGTTGAGCGAGTAGAAATAATTTACATTTTTCCAGATTTTCAAATATTTGTCTCTCCATTATGCTTCCGAAATTTGAGTCTAGTTTCTCCTCAAAAAACAAACTAAAACGTTTCTTAATGTAGTATTTTGAAAACTAACCATCCAGAAATCTCTTTTTAATGGTTGGATAAAACTAGTTGTTCGAATAAACGTCAAGAGATGGCGCAGCTTGTTATGTAGATCGTGAATTTCAATATCATTTTCGCTTCTTACACCATGAATAAACTATAAGTATAGTTTTTAGGTTTTCTATGTTTTTTAAGTCCACTTTCTGGCTTTTGTTGTGATGAAGTGTGGGTCGGTTGAATTTTGTATTGTTAGAGGTTGATAGTACTAAGGGGTCGAATTGTGAAGAATTTCCTTGGAAGTTGAAGAAGTTCCTTGTAGATTTGAAGAGGCTCTTTTGAAATTTGAAGATGTAACTTTTGATTTTATCATTAACCTAAATAAAAGTACCCAGATAGAACTATAGTATCCTTCACCTGTCACCATATAGTGGAAAATAATCCAGATATGGATTACGAAGACTCAGACTTTCAATTATACATATTCAAAAAAAAAACAAACAATAATGCCCGATTGCACCGTCTCTCTTAACTGAGGCTTAACGATAACTATCCCTTAAATTGACAGTTTTGCATGGGAAAATGTCACTTTAAGGAATAGTTATCTTTAAGCCTCGTTTAAGAAAGACGGTGCAATCGGGCATAAACCATGTTGACCTACACTCACAAGCTGACAATCCTGCAATAGATTGCCAGAAGTATAAGGGCGAGAACCCACGGGCGTAATTGACGTAAGCGTAACATGAGCATAACTAATCATGTGATTTAATTTGTACGATTTCATTGGCGGCAATGCAGCCATCTTGAATTTTTGACATTACGCTGCCGCTACCGCAAAAAGTTGGGTTTTGTTGAACTTTTCGGCGTAATCGTGGCAAAGTTGTGACGTAATATATATGGTGAGTTCAGCTTGGCAGAACGGAGTTGGAGCGGATGAAGAGCAGTTTCATAGTAACCTGAACACAGAGCGAAAAGAATAAAATGGTTAGTCGAACGCATTAGGAGCAAGGCCAATGAAGAAATGCCGCGGCTCCCGAATGCTTATCCCCATCACAAAACGGAACATGTTTTTCTGCGGATATTTTGGGGAGCGATGCCATTTTTTCTACCAGGATCCCCAGGGAGCAACCAAGCCCTAAGCAAAAAAAAATCTTTTTTGAATTCTTTAGGTTAGGATCGTTAGGATAGTGAATTATTGAAAACCTAAATTTTACCGCCTTTTGGGAATATAGGAAGTGCGCATGCTCGCTTCTCGAGCATCATCTCGCGAGGTGGAGCTTATGGATATGGAGTTAATTATTCTCACTCTACTTGGCTGTACAAAAACGATGTAGAGCTTCCACTATTTGCTCCCAGTGGCCTGACCCGAACGATTTTGCAGTGAAAAGTGTCAAAGGAGTCAAAAGAGTTGCCAAGCCGAACTCACCTACTCACCTATGATAGAAAAATCACAGAAAATTAAAGGAAAAGGACTACAAACAAATAAGTAAATTTTCATCACAACCTGGCAAAAAATAAACAAGATATTTGTGTTAGAAAATGTTTTTGTTGTTGTTTTGATGCACTACATGCGGGATGTTAAGCCAAAATTCGCGTAGAATTGACGTTCACGCCGATTGCGCTAACTACGCCCGTGGGTATTCGCCCTAAGTCACAATAGGGACAATTCCTAGGGCGCGTTTGGGTTCACGATCGGTGCACTCAGAGCGGGCACTTTTGTCTCTCTTCCGTTATTTTTGAGGCAGTGGATAGAGATCCGAAAATTCGGATCTTAATGTCCATACTAAAGATCCGATAATTTTCGGATTTTTAATTCGTATATTAGGGATAGAAAATTGATGAAAATAGGTTATGTGCGACAGGTTATTTGTGAATGTTTAGTGCAGGGTTGCAGACAGTTAACAAGACTAAAAAAAAATAGTGCTTATTTTTTTACAAAATGTCTCTATTACAAAAAAGGAAAACATTGAATTCCTTTAGTGCAGTAGAGGAGTACATTGAAAAAGTTGAACATACAGAATTTTTATGTTTGTATAAGGGTGGGTATTATAAAACTACTTTGAGAGTTCTTCTGGAATTGCATGTATATCAAAAAGTTAACTTTAAGTTAACTGTCAGAGCAGTTTTATAATACCCACCCTAAGAGAGACACCAAAACTATAGCATCAATGAAAAAAAAATATCCGAATAAATTAGCCAGTGTCAATGAGAACTTGAAATCAAGGGCCATCAATGCAATTGAACTAAAAAGGTCTAAGAAAAATAAAATTGTTTTATTCAAAAATAAAGTTCCTAAACTGAGGCACCAGATAATGCTTAATGCAATTTTTAATACAGAAGATTTGGTAAACAAAGCATTACATAAAAACTTTAAAATTGAGAAAGAAAACATTCCTCATCATCGACAAATTGATTCACTTCTTCTTGAAGAAGAAATATTTTTAGCAGAAATAGAAACATATTTTTGTCCGGATTCTTACGTTTTATTACAAAAACGAATTGAAGAAAATAGTATATTGTTGTATTAGGAGGGGCCAGGAGGGCAAGCTAATGGTTGAGCGGCAGTAAAAGTACGAGCGGCACTAAAAGTACTTTTGCTGCCGCTGGGGTTGCCAAGCAGCATAGAATAGTATTCTAAAATGGATTTGTGATATTATATGTAACAAAGTAATACATGAAGATTGTTTACGGTGCGATTCGTGGTCTTCAATGGAAACATAAAGTGTACCTACGGTTCAGTAACAAAGCTGCCTAATTCTAGTGAGAAAGCCTGGTTTTGCATGCAGTGCAGAAGGAACTAAATCACACCTCTTACCCTATCAACCCTTTAAAAAAATATATTAATATTTATTTTTTTTTATGTAAAGTTTTAGAAAAATAAAAAGGTTCTTAGTTTTGTTTTTTGTACTTTTCTTTTTTAAAATTGCACCAACTAAATATTCTGGAGTAAACTTGATTAGCTATTCCACATAAAAAGGATCAGTGGATCCATTTTTTTTAGTACCTATACTTAGATCCTTAAAAATAGGTAGAAACATTTTATCAGCTTTAATAAAATGTTATAATATTCCTTATTTACAACAGAATTAGAAATAAACGAGGAAATAAACATCTATTTTCGGATCTTCAATAAATTCGAAAATTATCGGATCTTTAGTATGGACACTAGAGATCCGAATTTTCGGACCTCTATCCACTGCCTATTTTTAAAGCTCCGACAACGCTTGATTGTGTTTGGTTTGGCATATTTTGAGCGCTCCGAGCGAGCTCGATAAACTCCGAGTTTGTGGAGTGGGCAGCTGGAGCGTGCATGCGCAGATCAGATGTGTTTAATCTAGAGGTGGGCCAACCTGCGATTTTACTGGAACTGTTACAAGACGTGACTGCTCCAGTCCTGTCACGGTGACAAATAGCAGTGATTTTTTGGAGCAGTTTATCCTTGACTGGCCGTACTGATAATACATTTAAATGCTACATTACATAATCGTAGTCTGCCCAGTTCGCAGTCACGGCCGAGAAAGATGTTCCAATCTGCCCTCTACAGTAGCAGTTTCTATTTTGCGTCACCGCGATGCGATTTATAATAATATGTGATAATATTTTTTCATTATTTCCACCACTGTCTTGAGTTTAGTCCGCGCTGTATCGATCAGAGATAGAAGCGGCTGTGACAAAATGTCACTGCTACTTGAGTGAGACTGGAGCAGGCTGTGACTGTGACAGACCAGTAGCAGTGATAAAGTCACAGTTCGTGAAATCGCAACTCACCTCTAGTTTAATCTGTCTATATAACCTAACCTAACTTATTTTCCATGATAAGATAAATAAACAATCCTGAATTTTAACTTATTTGTTAGCTGGATAGTTTTAGCTATTTTGTTTAAATGTTAATCATTGATGTTAACAATCAAATAGCTAGTAAATTCTGCATATTTGTTTACTTTTAATTAAATTTTCTCGGTAGGTAGTCATCATTACTGTTATTATTGAACATATTTTTCCAAGGGAACTTGGCAGCCTCAGAGTGTTTTGGTCCATTTTATTGTTTATGTAGTGTTTAATACTTGTGTTGATCCAATAAAACTAGACTATTAGACAAAATTAAGTATTTATTTTAATCAAATTCTATGAGCACACACCATATACAGCTGGCTCACAAGTGGCCATCTTTGTCTTGACTCCCTAGACCTATTATGCTAATTACAAGCCACAGTATGGGCCTACTATATTAAACATCCCTCCTCTTTACAGATTTAACTTATTCGGTTTTTTTATTATCCTACCTGATCTACTTTTAACCTCCTTAGAGTCTATAGCTTCAGGTTTACAAGTAATATTTTTAAAACTGGCATCATTATCAGAATTAAACGAACTTGAATGACTAGTGGTTGGCATACTAGGAATTGTAACTGATTCATCAGTTATCTCATTTTCAAAATCATTTTGAACAACTTTAAACTCATTTTGTGAAGGTTTCAAATCAATTCTGTTTCTTCTCATGATGTTGCCAGTGGAATCCAATACATTATAGGATCTTGGAGTGTCATGCTGTTTTAAAACCTTACCAGGTTCTCAATACTTTTTTATATGATTATACACTGTTACATCAGAGTTTTTATCAATAACACTTAAATCCTGTGTCGTCTTATTATAATAAG